GAAACATCAGGTAATCCCAAGCGAGCCTCTATAAAGCGGGGTGCACGCTCGCCCCGTCAAGTCGTAGCACGGTCCTGCCTCGTTTCTCCACAGTCCTGCCGAGCCATCCAAACACTACCGCAGAAAGGGGCTGAGCATAACATCCAACCGCAGCCATGAACGGTACAGAGGGACCGGCATTCTACGTGCCTATGTCCAACGCCACCGGCATTGTTAGGAGCCCGTACGAGTATCCCCAGTACTACCTGGTGGCGCCATGGGCATATGCCTGCCTGGCCGCATACATGTTCTTCCTCATCCTCACCGGCTTCCCCGTCAATTTCCTCACTCTGTACGTCACCATCGAGCACAAGAAGCTGCGTACACCTCTCAACTACATTCTGCTGAACCTCGCCATTTCCGACCTCTTCATGGTGTTCGGTGGCTTCACCACGACGATGTACACCTCGATGCATGGCTACTTCGTTCTTGGACGCATCGGCTGCAACCTCGAAGGCTTCTTCGCAACCCTGGGTGGTGAAATGGGCCTTTGGTCCCTGGTGGTGCTGGCCTTTGAGAGGTGGATGGTCGTCTGTAAGCCCGTGAGCAACTTCCGCTTCGGAGAGAACCACGCCATCATGGGTGTTGCCTTCACCTGGGTCATGGCCTGCTCCTGCGCCGTGCCTCCCCTGGTCGGCTGGTCCCGTTACATCCCCGAGGGCATGCAGTGCTCGTGTGGAGTCGACTATTACACTCGCGTACCTGGCGTTAACAATGAGTCCTTCGTCATCTACATGTTCATCGTCCACTTCATGATTCCAATGGTTGTCATATTCTTCTGCTACGGCCGTCTCGTCTGCACCGTCAAAGAAGCCGCTGCCCAGCAGCAGGAGTCCGAGACCACCCAGAGGGCCGAGCGCGAGGTCACCCGCATGGTCATCATCATGGTCATCGGCTTCTTGATTTGCTGGGTCCCCTATGCAAGCGTAGCCTGGTATATCTTCACCCACCAGGGAAGCGAATTTGGGCCTGTCTTCATGACACTG